CCCGTGCTATCCTCCCCAACCCCTTTCCCCCGTTATTTCCCTACCATATCACCAAAACTAACTAGCCTTACCAACCTAGCCTACAACGAAACAACACAGCATCATCAACTCATCTATCTCCAAAAACACTCACCCTATTCACGAAATCTGGCATCTAAGTCTGGAGACGTGGACTCTATCAAACATGCCATTCAACCCCCAAAAGAGATGATGATGGAATTTGGCAGATAAGAGAGGGATGGTGGGTGGGCCGGTAGTGGTTATATATCGCCGTGAGTCACAGAGGGACTTGCTATGCCTTATTTCAGGTTAAGTAAGTTGATGTGAGTTGAGCTTGAAGGAGGCATATGTGGTCGGTTGATCTAGTGATTCTGATATAGAAGTTGACAGATCTGGGAAGGTGGTGTTGATACTAGAATGTGGCTCCGAGTTAGACGTTTGTGGCTGAGATGATACAACACCAGGGATCCCAAGAAGCTTGAGTGCATATATCATACCTTTTGAACATATATCATAGCTTTAGAACGATAACATGTGATCATGATCTATTACATACCAAACAGATCTGCCATTTGTGTTTTTGGGTATCACAAGTGAAATGATGGTCCAGATCCAGAATTCGAGTTTTGGTTTCCATATCACACATCACACATCAAAAGCACCACGATCAATACAACCAAACCCTCAGCAGACCCTCACATCGCACCAGAAGCCTCACTTCACACAGAAAATCCAAAGCATAAACAAGCAAAATTCAATTACATCCCCAAGCATAATCCCACAAATCCCTACACCAATCCAAACCCCATTTTATTGACCCTATGATGCGATGCCCTTCCCATACTTCTTTTCAAACGCCGGGGGTATATCCTATAATATCGATACGCACCATTCTAATATCACAGTAGTAACTTTTTCGTCCGTCTATTGACCATCATCCCCAGTCCTCTTCCATGGTTGATTTATATCAAGCCAGCTCCCCACTATCTCCGGAAACCCCTCTATCAGCGCTCTTCCTAGCCGGCGAGTCTAAATCCTCGAAATGCGTTCGCGCGATGTAACAATTCAATTTCGCGGCGTTGAAACGCTCCTCACCAGGTGGTAACACGACGCCGAGATACGTGTTCGTGGTAAACTTAATCAGAAACATGCAGAAATTCGGCATTTTGAGATCGAAGACGGAAAATTGCTCGGCGGATTTAGGCGTGCCCGTGTATCGACTTGTGCTTTGCTTGAAGTTTTTGATAATGTTCGAGAGACGTTCGTTACGATCGTAGGTAGGATTCTGAGCGGGCTGATCTTTGTCGCTCGTGATTATCCCCTTGGATGACCAGCTTGAGACGACGAGGAAGGAGGTGCGTTCGAATAGGAGGACTTCTTCTGCCATTATGAGTTTGCCTAGACTGCCGAGATGTTTCTCTATTTGATCGAGATTGGGGACTAGATCGTGGATTATTTCCGCCCAAGCCTTGTAGAGCGATTGATCCCAGATCGAAGTCGCGAAAGGTGTGGGGTCAAAGGAATCGGATTTGGAACGGATGAGGGATACGCGATCATTGTACATGTCTTCTCGTTGGTTGGGCACCACCAAGTCCATCTTATGAACCAGTATGTATACACTTGCACTTTGGGAGAATTGACTGAGCGCGGCGATGATGGAGCGGTAGGTAAGGAGATCGCGATCGAAGTCTCGAGATTCGATATCGAATACGTAGATGAGCACGCCGACATTTGAGAATACGTGTTGTCGTTGCTGCGAGAGGTAGTTCTCCATAAATGCATCCTGACTGGGAATTGTTAGCCGGGAACGACTTCAATGCTGATTACATATAGGAAAAATCGGAGCATGCGTATTGCTCTACAGCTATGCAGCTCGTGGACCCTGCATCCTCCAAATTCAATGTGCAACGTCCGATAAAAGGAAAAGCTATACGAACCCGCCACAATCCCAAAGATTCAGCGTCAAATTCCCCAGAAACTTAACATGACTCAAATCGACATCAATGGTAGCCCCCAACCGTCTCGTATCTTTGGCAATATAATTGCTGAAAATGATGCTTCGCATGGAGCTCTTCCCGGACCCCGACTTGCCCATCAGCAGCACTTTCTTCTTCTTCTGTTTGCGTGGTTCCGACGAAGGTGACGGCACCGGGTCGTCATGAATACTGAGACTATTCATTTGATCCATTGTGTCGTGTATGGTGCTGGAGGTGGAGGTTGAAAGAGGTTGTCAATGTGAACTCCAGATTGCTCAGTTTCCGTTTGTCATAATCGAGAGCGATAGCTTGGAGAAGCTGGACAGCTGTGGGGAAGTTAGTCTGCCTAGCTGGTGGAGTTGCACGATAAGACGCTTATCGAGAAGTAAAGGCGGTGAATTTATTTCATGTGGCAGAAAGAAAGGGGATTTCTGAATCATTACAACACGCTCCTCCGTCTACACAAGCACTTAGGTAATTTTCAGCTGGAATTTAATTCGAAAAACGGCAAGAAAATATGTATACGTGTTTGT